AAGGTAACCAATCTTTTAATCCATTTTGGGTGATACATAACAACAACTCATGGGACTCAGCTTCTATTAAATAATTGACCAAATTCTTATATGATTGATATTTCCTAAAAAAAGCAAATGTGACCTGGTAGGATATGGGGTAAGTGCGTGTAGATGGATCTATTAAATTTTTATATTTGACAAAAATAAATGTGCAAATGAAATCATGTGGATGGCAGTAGTTTGCAAGAAATTTCAAGCAGGGATAGAACACTGCAAAATTGTGTTATAGGATATACAATACTTGCCTTTACTGAATTTTCTTCATCTGGATCTTTTTCAGCTTGCACCCTGAAATAGTCATTAACACTACTTGGGATGACAAAATTATGAATCTTACTATCGACATCAAAATCTTCCTAATTTTGTGTGAAAAATTTTATTTAAAAAAATACATGAATGCACAAACGAACAAGCAAGCATACTGATAACATTGATATTTTTGATTTACAAACCTCTTCTAATTAAATTAGAAATTCTAAAAGATGAGCATAACTCCAAATCATCATCATCTTTAGAATTTAAATTATTTTTTATTGAAATAATTTGTTTATTTATCAAGTATGCAATTGGTACTCCATCAAGAATTCCCAGATTTAATGGTAAACAATCCTTTTTTCCAGGAAGAATTTTTTTTAACATTATAGTAAGGAAAGAACAGTAATGTTAATGGTATTTATAAGGAGAACAAGAAAAAGTCATAAAATGGTTTGGATTTTGGTATGTTATGTTATAAATTAATCATTTTCATAAATACTCTGTTTTTCTTTAATTTTTGTTGACCAACTGAATTTGTTGTTTTTTTAAATGGGAACTTTTTCCCATATAACCTCCCACTCTAGGTTAAAGGAGTGTAGCTCAATAAGAGCATGTATCTTACAAGTATAAAGGTGGCAGTTTGATTCTACCCACTCCCTATTGTGATAGTCACCATGATCACTGGCATCAAGGAGAAAGCTGTAAAATAAAATGGCTTGGATTTTGTTTGGTATGTTATAAATTAATAATTTTCTGCTTCTCTTTAATTTTTATTTGACCAACTGAACTTGTTATTTAAATGGGGTAGGGTTGTTGGTGAGTTGGTGTGCCACTGACAAGACAGCAACCCAGGACTCAAAACTCTGAATTCAGGAAAAATCCAAAACAATAACCCAGGTTGTAACTTCCTGAGTTGGAGAATTTTGAACCAATTGCAGATGCCAACTTTATTCTAGAGGGGTATAACACAATGCAATCATCACACAAATGCCAGCTTTCAGCAATCAATGCCCATATGGTAACATCTAGCCTGGTCTGAGAGGAAGATAATTTTCGTTTACTAAAAAATAAATGTGTTTAAAACTCGTTTTTTTTTTTAAGCAAAGAAGCTGGCAATGAGTTCAAATTTGGAGTTGAAATTGATATTGAACTTTAAATTTGAAGTTGTATTTAATTTAATTATGATAATGACAATACTTGATTTATTGCCATTTGAATAATTATGTATCCTTCAATCAAAATTATGAACTACAGAATTACATCCAACAGATTCATATTCTTATTATTATTATTATTATTTGCACCGATGCTGGGCTTAAGTTAATTTTGGGTTTCATTATTATTAATATATATACATCATTACATCATTATATAGCATAATAAAATGATAAATTAAACTAATACATAATAAATAATTTATATATTAAGAAAAAAAATCACTAGAGCAATTGCATACCTTGGATCCAAAGCCGTTTATGAGTTTTTTTTTTGGTGGAAACTATGCTACACTTTATTACTCTTATTATTATCATCTTAATAATATCTTCAATAATAATTGTATATAAACTACAGAATTTAATAAAAATTTATTTACGCATCAACCAAGTAGTATGTTCTTATACAGTGTGTTTCAAAATGAATTTGCATTGTGCGCGCCCTTTTTTTTGAAAATTTTGAGATGAATAAAAAATTTTTCACATGATGAAAAATGATTGGATATCTCGCTTATATGATAAGCA